CCTGAAATATTTCAGTTAGTGTGCAATGAATCTAAAATATATGAATGTTAAATTTTCATCATGACATTATGGAAAATAATGAACTTTATCACAATATGCTAATATTTTGAGAAGGACCTGTATTGTGGCCTGTTGGCTAAGAAGTAATGGTGAAAGTTAGGCAGATCTAATCCTCCTTATCTTTGGTCTTCTGTAGTGTTTTTAAGCTAATACGCAGGGGTTTATCTTGCCAAAAAAATTTAGTGATGGTCGAGTCCAGAGATCTAAACCAGTCAGATGATGGTTTATTTGGAATCATTTAGAATAAGTAATAGATATTTGGCAAGACCATTATTTTTACTGAAGCAACCCTACCCATGAATGATAAGAGATTTCTATCTAGTGAGATCTTCCACTTTTTTAAAAGGTGGGATGAAGTTTAGTTTTGCTAAATCTGCCAATCTAGGAGAAACATTAATAACCAAATATGTAATATTCTCTGACTGTAGTTGTGTATTAAGGGAATTGTGGAAAAAACAATTAATTGGAAGAACTGTGGATTTTAACCAGTATCCCAACCAATTATAGAATAATCTGAAACTCTTAAGAATTTATCAGTCCAGTTACCTGAGAGAGAGAGAGAGAGGTTTGTGACTGCTGGAGAAAAAGTAATACATCATTCGTATAGACTAATTGTATATTCAATATTCATGCATTTTAATGCCTTTAATATCTTTAGTTTGCCTGATTGCTGCTGCTAGTAGTTCTATAAAAATAGCAAATAATGAGGGGGAAAGTGGGCATCCCTGTCTGGTGCCCTTCTGCAGACAAAAGCTGGAAGATGTTTGGTTATTTGTTCTGGTACATGCTGTTGGGGAACTGTATAATATTTTTAACCAATTTATGAAAGAGTTTTCAAAACCAAATTTACTCAAGGTTGCAAACAAGAATTTCCAGTTAACTCTACCTATGGAGATAGTTTAAAATATCCAGTGCTCCCTAATGTGTCACATGCCGAGGGAGAACATGCAAACTACAGCCTAGCTCAAGTTCAAACCTGAACCTTGTCTCCTGGGGACAGGCTACAGAGCGCAGCAGCATATTATATTTCATTTATCGCAACACATTTTAAAGAGCTTTCAAGTAAATAACTATTACTAAGTGGCACTCTCTTGCAAAATTGAATGTAGTTTTTAAAAAAATAAAGTGTAAAAACTGGCATGCATTGCATTTAGCCCTATTTTCTCAGGTTTCCCTAACCCAGGGCAACAAATTCCCTTCTGAAGTCACTATTTAGTAAGTACTGAAACTGACGGGCAGAGCAGGGCTACATTCTTTAGACGTAGCAACAAAGCTGACACTGAAGGAAGGCTGGCATTAAAAAAGCCACAATAGAAACCATTTGCATTTTATCACAAGTCAACTCGGTGATACAGCAAAGATGGAAGAAAGTGCTCGTCAGCTGAGACCACAACTGACGTTTTTGGCGTACATAAAAAAAGTTATGTTTGGAGGAAAACTTACACTGCACATCAACCTGAACATACCATCCCCATCATGAAACGTGGTGGCAACATTATGCAGTAGGGATACTTTTCTTTAACAAGCAGATGGAATCTGGTCGGAGTTAATTGGTAGGTGGATTAAACTAAATACAGGGCAATCCTGGAAGAAAATCGGTTTATGGCTGCAAGAATAACAAGTGTGGTGAAGCTCCTCCTTCCACCTGGGCGACCACCCTAAACATAGGATGCAGCCAGAGCGAAAATATACATGATTCAATCAAAGTGTATTGTGTTAGAATGACCCAGTCAGTCCAGACAAAATTGAAATTTAATTCTTAGATGTGCAAACCTGGTAGAGACACACCCCAAAATACTGCAGCTGTAATTTCAGTGAAATGTAGTCCAACAAAATATTCCCTCTGGACCTGAACACAAAATAGACTACGCTTATATAGTGCATTTCCGGTCCGACCACTCAAAGCGCTTTATTGACTGAATGTGGTTCTACCGTAAAGCACTCACAAACGCACACACATTTGTACAACGATACACAGATTGGTAGGCAACTTGAGGTTAAGTGCCTTGCCCAGAGGCACATTGACATGTGACAGGAGGAAGTTGGAATTGAACACACAACTTTTGGATTGCAAGACGACTGCTCTTCCCACTGAGCCACAGTCACCCAATTATAAGTCACTGCTTTGCTTAAAAGTACAAAAATAAAAAGTCAATACCCTTCACTTGAATCAATGTCAAAAGAAATACATTTAGCCTGAGGAAACAGGATGTTTGTCCCAAATAAAAACATTTATACAATAAACCTTTTAGTAATGTTCTCTTGTGAAGAAGTTTCCAGTTCTGCTTCCTACCTCAAGCATGTGGATTTCCCTTCCCTGGACTTCGAAAGGAAAACATGAGTTTCCAAGGAGTTATTAAAAGAATCTCCAGAAGCTCTGCATCCAGTGAGAGAGATTAGAGCAACACTGCCACCTGCTGGTGTACAAATGGTCTGTCCTCAGGAGGAAGGAACGGTACTTCACAAACTAAACAGCTTTATTAATCTCACTGGTTCTCTTCTAAAAATATTCCCATAACTAATGGGCTCTGTAAAATAGTTTCCTATGAAGAGGGAAGAAAATATTCCCATGTTACCAAACTCACTCCATCCCACATGGATAGCGCTTATGTGAGGCCCTTTATGATTAAACAAGTTTAAATGTTCAATAATCCTGCTAGAAATTAAAATGATCAGTCACAAATTACATAATTCTTCCACATACAATTTTATTTTCTCTATCCATGTTAGAATTACTATATTAATGTTAATACATAGTTTCTTTGCATTGAAATATGCTATACAAACTAAATCAAATCGGATTACGTGGCTGCCTGACAGCCTTGCCGTATCGAGGGTTTTAAAAGACAAGAAAAAACCAGGCAAACAAAAGCTTGTGGAAAAAAGGAAAACTGTAAATATATGTTCTGAGCATATTACAGTGAAAAATCTGTCTATAGATCAAAATAAAATACAATAAAAAAGAAAAGAAAAAAACCAAAAGTGTCAACACATGATCGCATAAAAAAAAAAAAAAGTTGTCCCCAATCCTGGTGTGGATCTTGGTCAATCTGACAAACGGCTAGTTGTTTCTGCTCTTGGAGCAAGCAGCCAGCCAGACCTGAAGGTTTACAGTAGCACCGGTTGGCTTATTGTCAACTGTGACCAAAAAAAAAGTTCAACTGTCCCAAGAGTAAAAATAACCACAAAGAAAATGACATTTCTTTTGCAGTTGAATGTCTGCATGCCAGGAAAAAAAACCAAAAAAACAGTAAACGCTGTTCATGGCACACAGCAGCACTTTGACATTTTCATTTTAAGGGTTTGACAGTGAGACAGAGCTCTATTTTGGCGCTCTCAGAATTAAAGGGCAAATGAAACAATGATTTCAGAAACATGGTGAAGAAAGATAAAATGAACACAAAAGCACAACATTTTTGGCCATGATGGAGTCACCCTGACATAACTCATTGTCTCAGCACAGTACAGACTCGAGAGCCATGCTTGGAGTTAAACTGTCCAGCGTATATAAACTGAAGGAAAAAGATAATACTTTTACCCCAAACAATCCATTGTAATATTTTTACCAACTTCCTGAACTGAGAAACTGATATAGACTAGCAGAGATCATAACCCATCCTGATTAGCAATAGTGGTCTTTCAGAATTGACAGCAGTGTCACAGTAGTTTCATTTATGTTTATATAAAAAAAAAAGATACAATAAGTATAATCTAACCCAGCTACATAAAAGTAGATCTATCATAATTATTCCATTTGATGTATTAAAGACGAGACACAGAAAGTGTACCAAACTTGGACTCATAATAATCATTATATATGGGTGAATCATTATTTCCAAAAGGTCAGAATTTTGTCCACAGATGTTCTGAAAACATATTTATCAGCAATATGAGGATGGGTGTTTTAAACCAACAATACATAAAACCAAACTAAGAAGTGGCTGGACAGAACCTACTCTCAAGCATTTGACCAAACCTTTCACTTCTAACCGTCATCTTACTTAAAGGATTTATAATCAAGCTGTACCATTTACATTTAAACAGATACAGAGGTGATGTAAAAGTTTACTCTTCATCAGTAATGCAGACCTCTGCAATATTTAAAAAAATAGCAAACTGGCATAGATGGGTGAAATGTTAGTTTGTTTTGTTCAGCTCTTCATTGACAAACGTGCAAATCTCATGTGTTATGTAAAAAAAACAAAAAAACAACAGTACTCAGAGAGGAGAGAAAACAATAATCAGATGCAGTGTGTAAGATCATGTTGAGTCCACTTGGTTTAGACTGATTAGTCTGTAGAAAGGCCATTTCCTGGAATGCATGTCTCCATTAAGAACCACGGACCTTCTCTCATAAGGCAGGAACAAAAATACATGATACTTAATTACTCTGTAATTACTGAATGAACTCCAATATTGTCCTTGCACGTCTTTTTCCCCCTTCTGCCATATTCCTAATCTGCAGTGTCCAACATAAAGGGATTTGAAAGCAAAGGAAATGATTTATACTGAGGTGAGGTTTCCAGTGAAAAAAGGATCAGGATAATCCTGGGCAAAGTAGAGAGCCAAACGGGGGGTGGGGGGAGCCTCGACTAAGTGAGGTGTGAGTCACCACGAAGTCAGTTCAAGACAGACAAACACCGATTCTCCTGTAATAATTCACGCAGAAACAATAACTCAGGCCATCTTTTCAACAGTAGCTTTCTTCTCTGCTGCTCTCACTTCAAGCAGCTCTATAAGTTGACCAGCTCATGTGCAACAAACTGTTTGAGCCTCTCCAGGTACTGTCCATAGAGCTCCACGTCATTGTGTCCGGCCCCCTCCACCCAGAGAGGTTCCACTGGATGCTGACAGCGTTCATACAGCGCCAGGCCATGGGAGAAGTCGATGACCTCGTCCTCGGTACCGTGGATCAAGAGGACAGGCGATGTTACCTTGGAAATCTTGTCGATGCTTTGTGGCAAGAAAAGGGAGAAACAAATGACACAAATTAGGGGAAATAAAGATTGGAAACTGATTTAACTACTGTAGAATTGAGTTAGACAGAAAAATTGAGCAGAGCTACAGTTCTTTGGTCACATTGCTCTTACAAATGTCAGTGTATTTTATTGGGATTTCACATAACTGTGAAAGGTTAAGGAAAATACATGCTTTTTTAAACAAATACAAATCTGAAAAGTATGTAGTATAGTACTATCTAATCCCCCATTAGTCAGATACTCCTAAGTAAATCCAGTGCAACCTATTGCCTTAGGTAATCACGTTTTTATTGAACAGGGCCCATCTGTGTGCAATATAATAAGTGTAAATCCAGCTGTTCTGTGAAGGCCTCAGAGGTTTGTTAGGGAGCATTTGTAGACAAACCAAGAAACACAGCAGGCAGGTCGGGGATAAAGTTGTGAAGAAGTTTAAAGCAGGATTAGGTTATATAACATCATACGAAGCTTTGAAGATCTCATGAAGCACGAAGGTTAAGTGCATGAAAATGGAATGCATATAGCACTACCTAAAACCTACCAAGACATGGCGGTCCACCTAAACTGACAGGTTGAGCAAGGAGAGCAATAACAAGGGAAGAAATGACAGATTAAAGCCATAGTTGGAAAACAAAACCCTAATTGGGAACCGTTTGCAGTGTACCACAAGCCATGTTGGGGACATAGCGAACATGTGGAAGAAAGCGCTCTGGCCATTTGAGACCAAAACTGAAATTTCTGGCCAACATCCAACTAGCTAATTGTGTGGAGGTGGGGGGAAATAGATTACACATTCCCCTCGACACACAGTCCCCATCATATAACATGGTGGTGGCACATCCGGCTTTCTTCAGCAAGGAAAGGGAAACTGATTAGAGTTGATGGAATGGAGCTTAATAAAAAGGTAATTCTGGAAGAACACTTGTTGTTGGCTTCAAAAGGCTTGAGACCGGAAAGACCTGGACAAAGGTTCAGCTTTCAGCAGGAAATCAACGCAAACCATACAGCCAGAGCTACAATAGAATTGATTAATTCAAAAACTATTTATGTATTTGGATGGTTCAGTCGAAGTGCAGACCAATTTCCAATTGAAAATCTGCTAGAGAAATGTCCAAGATGTGACTGCAGCGAAAGGTGGTTCTACAAAGTTCTGGTTCAGTGAGGCAGATAACAAATTCATGGCCCACTTTTCAGATATGCATTTGTAAAACATTTTAAAAACCAATGAAAACCACATTCCCTCTACTTGTGGTCTATCGTATACAATTCTAACAAAATAAATTAAAGTTTGTGACAGCAATGTGAACAAAAATCAAAGGGATATAAATGCATTTGCAAGGGATTGCATACTACTAACTGTCCAGCAGATGGAGCAGTTGGGAATATTCTCTACCCCATCTTGAGCTAATCAGATGAAAATTATTTCAGTCCATAAAAGAGGTGGCATACTTCAGATGTAAAAAAAAAAAATCATGCAGGTAGGCCTTTTTGCACACATGCCATCTGTCCTCAGAGTGTACTCACTTTGGAAAGGCGTCAAAACAGTAGGTCTTCTTGGTGTCTGGGAAAGCCACTCTCATGCCAGAGGTAAGCGGGGAGTGGAGGATGACTGCGGCACTCTCATAGCGAGAGGCAAGGTCCACAGAGGGCACTGTGCCAATGCTCTGACCATAGATGATCACGCTCTCCGGACGGATGCCGTACCTTTAAATACAATTTAAAAAAAACACAAAAAACTAAGCAACCATACTGTACAGTACAAGTCTACTGAGATATGCGGATAACATTTGTGTCCTCAAAAATACATTGGCATGCCTCCAGTGAGGCCATTAGTCAATTATAAAAAGCTGATAATTACACACAGACATAACTACTACTACTACTACTACTACTACTACTAATAATAATAATAATAATAATAATAATAATAATACTAATAATAATACTAATAGTACATTTTATTAATATGGTGCATTTTTTTTTTTCAATTGCAAGTATTTCTCTGTCATGCTTTTACTGCATCATCTTATACATCATTTGATAGTTTTTTTATTCCTCTTTCTTCTGATCATTTAGTTTAATTATTATTTTTTTAAATCCTTGTTCTGGTTGCTTTATTTGACTGGATCT